CTACATTTGATCAACCTTGCTGCCCCTTTTGGGTGTTTGTATTCCTGAACACAAATCAGCCAGCCCTCAGTTCTGGACTCTGGTTTTGATGTGGTTATGTGTGAGCATGGCATTTAGAACCTAGACCTTTAAAAAGGTATCCAGAGTTTGTCAGAAAGCTAAAGCCTGTATCGTAAGAATTCAAGTATTTTTAAGCACTTGAAGCAAAATGTCTATGTAGCTTTTGACTAAACTGTGAATAAAGTCAGTGCTTCATAACTGCATTCAAGTTTTTTAATAAGTCCTTTCTCATTTTATTTTTTTAAATGAGTTTAATGAAAGACTTCACTGGGTGACTTGGGTTACATCGCTAAAAATTCTTTCCAGGGAATTGGCTGGTCTTTAAAGCTGCACAAAAATCTTAGAAATATGCCATGGAAAGTAATGCTGTGCTGGCCAGGCAGAGGAATCTGTGGCCAAACGGGTCTGGTTTCTAGTTTTCTTTTTAGTAACAGGACTTGAATCCAAAAAGGAGAACAGTTATTTACAGTCTAGTCCCTTAGTTACCAAATAGACTAGACATATTTCCAGATTTGGAGGATGTTTCTGGTTCCTTATAGAAAGCCATAATGACCGAAAGTGCTGTCCTGACCAGCCACTGACTGCGTTACGAATTGCTCTTTCAGCAAATAGCTTTAAAAATATCTCTGGAGCAACCTGATCCTTTGATGAGGGATGTGGAGCAGACGTTGAAACACGTTAACCTCCTTCAGTTCAGGCTTCTCTACTGGCAGGGAATTTGACCTGCTGAGAAAATGGAAAAAGGAACAGTTGATGAAGCTTGGGTTTGTAGATGCAGATGGATTTTGTGATTTGTAACTTTTTTTTTTCAGTGTACAGAGCCCCAAAAGCTATTCAACATTGCAAATGAGCTGCTCCATACAGAAGAAGCCTATGTTAAAAGACTGCATCTGTTGGACCAGGTAATTAGATTTTGAATAAACTCTCGTTTCGGTGAGCAGCAACGATGTCTCCTGTTCATTCCCTAACCTATGGCCCAGCAGTGTGAAAATGCAGATTACAGGTGGGAGATGGAGTTTGCTTGCTGGGCTGCGTGCCCAGGTGCCAGAGGTGAGCTTGTGGCCAGGGGGTTCCCTGGGCTGGGGCCGAGGAGTGGGGTGTCACAGAGAGGAGTGGGAGGGCAGCAGCCCCAGCACAGACACCCTCAGCACTTGGTTCCTCCCTCAGCGTACGTGGAGAGGAAATCACAGGGACACTGAAGGCTCTGTGAAATGATGAAATCCGTGATCGCTCTGTAATGTGCAAGAGTTGGAGTTTTACTAAAATCAGGCCACATGGGTCAACCGCAGTGAATTTTTGGTTTTTTTTTTTACCCACTGTGTTTCGTAACTGTTGTCCATCATGGTTACACGTGGGGATAAAGTAAAACTGCTGTGATGAGTCTGAACTCTTCACGGAAACATTGAGGTGTGTCTACATGGTTCAGGCATTTCTATAATTATCTCAAAGAAAAAAAAAAACACATGAATTTGTAGGAAAGAAGTAAAAATGAGGATGAGTCACACTGGTAACCAAGTGCTTTATAAAAATGGGGGTGGGGGGTAGTGTAGGAAATTGTCACCTTGCTAGAAATCTTGTCGGAAGCTGTAACTTGCAGAGCCCTCTACCCTCCAGCTCTAGGACCTCTGTGGAAGACTTTCCAATGTTTGTTTTGGATGAGCAAAGACGGTTTCAAGACCGTAGGAGTCTGGGGAGTCTCTCTCCCTTTTGTTCAGTACAGTGTAATTCTTCCTACAGAGTAACAAAATAATCACATGGTTTATTTTGCTTCACATCAATAGGAGCAAGTGCTCTTCAGGGACTGGTTGTTCTTTGCAGCTCACACTCCCAAGTACAAGATGTCTGATCTTTTTAGCCTTACCCCTCAGATTTTTCTAATTTATGTCTGTGGGCCATAGTCATAAATCTGACCCTAACTGACAGTGGGCTTACAGGTTGCGAACCTCCCGAAAGACCCCAAGGACTGACTACCAGAAGTCAAAACTCTTAGCTCTGTTCTAAGACACTCAGCTTTGTAATATTGCGACCTAAAGCCAATGTGTCTAGGATTGTTTTTTGTAAATATACGGTGGCACTGTCTTCTTGTCTCATGCAGGTTTTTTGCACTAAGTTGTCAGAAGCAGGTATTTCATCTGAAGTGATAACAGGCATCTTTTCAAATATTTCTTCCATCTATTGTTTCCATGGACAATTTCTTCTTCCTGAGCTGAAAACAAGAATTACACAAGAATGGTAAGTAGCTGTAATTATGATTATTTTAAAAATATGTTTTCAAGAAACTATAGCAACCATAAGGCCTAGCTGAATTCCAAAGATTTTAGTTGTTTAATGCAGTAGTTTACTTGTTATTTAATACATTAGCATGGAGTCTCTTTAACATTTCTGAATACAGGAATAGACCTGAGCACTTAAAATTTCTGCAGTACATTGTGAGAATTTTTCCAGTCCAAAGTATTGCCAGAGCTGTTCTCCTTTAAGCATTTCTACTCTCCCGTTATTGCAGTACTATGAAATTGCAGTACTAGGAAGCAGGAAACTGCTTATTTTGGCCCCATTGATGAAGTATTTTGGCTCTATGTGACATACTAAAAAACCGCAGTTACTTCTCAATTAAGGAAAATGCATCATCTTGTCACAGTCTAGACTTTGCATGCCATGATGGAGACTTCATGGGAAACATCCGTTTTAAGTTTTCTTTAATGAATTTTCTTATGGTTCTATGAAATCTAATGTTAAAGTTAGAATTATAGCAACAAACCAATGGAAAATCCAGGCAGAAAAGGTAGATGACTTTATGTCTACAAACCTGCTTATATCTGTTATGTAACCACGTCTGTTAGGCATCACAGTGCTGCAGAAATTTTTACTCCAGAATTTGTTGGCCTTTTGTTCTAGGACATAAAAATACTGTTGGTTGCAGACTGTATGTACTTTCTCTAACAAAATAGATGTGGGTTGTTTTCTGTTGTTTTGGTTTTTTTTTCAGTGACTAATAACAGTCAAATACCAATTAAAATTTGGCAACTGTAGTTAAGTTGTAGATGACGCAGAAATGCAGCACTAGGTAGAAAGGTTAATTGTAAGGCAGATCTAGGGAACTATTTGAGATGATTGCACCTGGGTCAGGGCAATCCCCAGCACTAATACAGGCTGGGTGGAGAATGGATTGAGAGCAGCGCTGAGGAGGAGGACTTGGGGTGCTGCTTGATGATGAGACATTAGGAAGAAATTCTTCCCTGTGAGGGTGGTGGCCCAGGTTGCCCAGAGAAGCTGTGGATCCCCCCTCCCTGGCAGTGCCCAAGGCCAGGTTGGATGGGGCTGTGAGCAGCCTGGGCTGGTGGGAGGTGTGTGACTACCACCGCTCCTAGCCGGGAAGGGTGTCTCAGCGCACTTGTGTCTGGCCCCTGGGACTGCCCAGCTGAACTGAGCCATCTCTGTGCATCAAAACCTCTTCAGATATATGTGGCTGTGAGGGAAAAGGTGATTTTTAAAAAAAGTTTCCCACAAAGTTTTGTGCTGGACAGCAGATATACACATACACACACACGCACATATATATATATATATGTGTGTGTGTGTGTGTCTGTGTACTATATGTTTCTTTAACAACATGTGGTCAGTTTGAATCTGATCTTTACTTAAGAGCCTGACAGTGGGGGCAGAAATATCATCCTTTGTACATCTAGATTAATGTTTAAGTTTTCATCTAGGCTATTGTATAGATTACTTTAAACTAAACTTAGCCTGAAATATCTTGGTTGCATATGTGTCTAAGTGCTTGTGCATGTGGGAGACAGCTGTGAAAGTCTCACAGTTGTGTTTTCTCTCTGAAGATAGCATTTATTTCCAGAGGTTTCAGTACTTACCTGCCTCTTTCCCGTAGGAACGTCAACCCACGGCTAGGAGATATCCTACAGAAACTGGCTCCTTTTCTGAAGATGTATGGAGAATACGTAAAGAACTTTGATAGGGCAATGGACATGGTAAACACATGTATGCAGAGATCCTCCCCCTTCAAAGATGTTGTTCAGAACATACAGGTATGTTGTTAATTGCCATAGTATGGCTTGGACATTCTCCTTTATTCATGTGAGTTTATTTGGTTTTGCCAGTGTGTGACACACAGTGTTTAGCTACAGTCTGATACTGCTCTAATACTAAAAATGTACAATTTTAGTGGCAGTCCTTTCTCCTCTTCTGCTGTGTGACACAGAGTTTTTGCATAGGTAGCTTTTTCACCACTCATGTATTTAAGAGGAGTATCTCAAGTCACAGAATGAAACTTTGCCATTGGTCCGACACTTCTGACTGGAAACATATCTGTTTACAAACTATTTTTGATTTCTCTTCCTCATTACTAATTTTAATTGCTTTTTAATAGTTACATTTTCATTCTGAGGGGTGTGTGTGAGAGTTTGTGCGTGTCCCTGGCAGCAGCTGCTGTTGGTCTGCCTTTCCGGAGGCTCACTCTCTTGGGGATCACCACTGCTGGAGGGTGCTTAGCATGGATTTCCATGTGTTTTCTCTTACTTATACAAAATGGTGCATGGGGAGGGGGAAGAGCTCTGCTCATGCAAGCATGTCCATAAAGCCTCTCTTTTCCCTCAGGCCTTGGGCCAGCTGAAGGGATGCAGCCGGCTCCAGCATGCTTTGAGCACCCTTGGATGATGCTGGGAAAGCAGACGCCATCCTTGGGAAGGGGAGGGCTGACAGGGAGAGGGTTAAGCTGAGAGGGAAGCACAGCTGCCCAAATGGAAGGACTGTGGCTGGGCCAGCTGTGGGGAATCGGGTAAACCCCCAGCAAGTGGGGAGAGGAGAGGCCCTGTGGAGGGGCTGGGGTTACTGGGCCTCAGACAGAAGCCTGGAGGAGCATGAACTGGGGAAGGTCCTGTCCTACCAGGCTTTCACTCCACGTAGCCTTTTCTTAACCTCTCCTATCAGAACCTAGCCTGCTCTCACCAAGGCTCTGCACAGGCATTTTGCTGTCCTTGGTTTGTGCCACACTGCTGTCATGGCTTTCTGAAGTGCCAATCAGTTTGTGACTGTTTTCCTTACAGCACAGCCCGCCCTAAAATTCATCTGTCTCTTCTCACCACTGAGCTACCAACACAAGCGATTTGTGTTAGCTGTCAGGCTGTAAAACTGGTCTGCAGCTGTCTGAGACCACGACTGGCTCTGCTGTTGCTTGAGCAAAACTGTGGCAGGCAGCCTGAATTCAGGCCATGCATGTGAGAGATGCAATTCTGAAACCTACTGATGGCAGTATTTAGCTGCAGGGTATTTTAGCAGCAGCATCACAGAACCTTCTGCTTCTGCCAGTGACGGTAGCTGCAGGAGACTTAGTCCACTCATCTGACCTATCTCTGTGCCATTGAGAGCCATGGTTACTTCTCAGAATACCAGTTGAAGTCTGTTGTGATCCTGCAGTAATGCACTGTTCATCTCAGCTGTTAATGGAATAGTTACACAGCTTAAGACATTTAACAACTATTAATTATGCTAAACTAGGGAAAACAGAAAACAAAAATTGCATGGTGCTGTAAGTGAATGACTGTGACTTTTCACGGTTACTGTAGCTGTCCTTGAAGAGAAACATATTTTCAGTTTGGTTCACATCCACCTACTGGGGCCAAAACTTGGTAGCTGGTGACTTTATTAGGACTTTTCTTTTGTCAGCTTTCTCCTTATGCTATCACATAAGTACTTTTTAACATGTATTTTAACATGTTTTGGATTGTCACATGAATGAAACACAGAGTAGACATTTATCCTTCCTCTTCTGAAGCAATTTGAATTGCAGTGTAAACTCTGTAAACTTTTTAAAATTATGTTGCATTAAACTTTTCCTGTTTGGGACAGTTTATTTTGTCAGTGCTGACTTTGTAGAGAGGATACACTTGGCACATGAACACAGCTGACTTGAGCCTCGAAGTGACTCTGCTTCCCTGGTGCTGTTCAGTGTTAAGGTTCATCCTGTTGCAGGAATAAAAAGAGAATGGAGATGGTTACAGTAAGTGGATTTGGGAATATAAACCAAGTGCTAATACGCAGTAGTGTAGCTCTGCGTCCCTTTTAGTTCTTTCCAGATTCTGATTCTTTCCATCCCAGTTTTCTTTTCTAGGAAGTGTGGTGCTGTAAAACTCTTGAGAGATAATAAATTCACTTCATCTCCTATAAACAAAAATATTGTTCACACTGTTACAGTATGAAAAGATATTTTTAAAAGCAAATTTATGTCTTTGAGTTTCTGGAGTGATAGCTAATATTTTTCAGTCAGACATTCATCTCGTTATCTCCAAGCTTTGCTTTGAGAATCAGGCGAGTCAGCAGTGTGTTGTGGGCTGTAATATTTATAAGGAAAATTGCAAATCCCTGAAACAAGTGCCTTTTTCTGCAAAAAAGCATATTGAAATTAATGTAGTTGTTGAGGGGTTGCTTACACTGGAACAGACTGAGACGTGGCATCAGTGAGCTGACGTAAAAATAATGGTATGGAGAAGAGCACCTGTGTGTGTGTATGTGGTTAAAGTGCTGATGTGGGATTCAGGTGTCAGATTGCGTTGCTAACAGAAACTTCCTGTGTGCTTTACAACAAGTTACTGACACTTACTGTGTTTCTCATTTCTCCTCCCCTCTTTTAAATAGAAATATCGCTTCATTTCATAGGGATCCTATGAAAACAAGTACACCACAACACTCAGTACAACTGCAAGCAGCGCATTTTGGTGCCTTATTGGGGAATATTTAGTGTAATCTCTCAAACCTACCCCCCTTCTTGGTCAGGTGAAAAAAAAAAAGAATTTATGGCATCTCCTTCTTCAGAGGTGGTGAGCCGTGTATGTGCTGCTCACCCAGTAAGCTCTAGCAAGCATTGTATCCCTGTGGGGTTTTGGATTTTGTATCAGAAGAGCTTTGTTGAGCCTATGAAGAAGCGTAAAATCTGAAAGAAGATCGTTGCATATCTGCAGAAAATGCCAGTCATGGGACAAATGCTCACGTGAAACCTGTCAGCTCTGATATCTGCTTGAGGGTATGAAGGCTCTGCAGAGGGACCTGGCCAGGCTGGATCGATGGCTGAGGCCAATTCCATGAGGTTTAACAAAGCCAACTGCCGGGTCCTGCACTTGGGTCCCAACAACCCCATGCAACGCTACAGGTGTGGGGAGGAGTGGCTGGAGAGCTGCTTGGCAAATAGGGACTGGGGGTGTTGGTTGGCAGTGGCTTGAGTATGAGCCAGCAGTGTGCCCAGGTGGCCAAGAAGGCCAATGGCATCCTGGCCTGCATCAGAAATAATGTGGCCAGTGGGAGTGATCATCCTCCTGTACTCAGCACTGGTGATGCCACATCTCAAATCCTATGTTCAGTTTTGGGCCCCTCACTCCCAGAAGGACGTTGAGGGGCTGAAGCGTGTCCAGAGAAGGGCAACGGAGCTGGGGAGGGGTCTGAAGCACAAGAATGATGGGGAATGGCCGAGGGAGCTGGGGGAGAGTTCAGCCTGGAGAAGAGGAGGCTGAGGGGAGACCTCATCGCCTTCTACAGCTCCTGAAAGGAGAGTGTAGTGTGGGGGGCGGGAGGAATTGGTCTCTTCTCCCAAGTCACAAGCCATAAGACAGAGGAAATGGCCTCAAGTTGTGCCAAGGGAGGGTTAGATTGGATATAAAGAAAAATTTATTCCCTGAAAGGGTTATCAGGCACCAGAAGGGGCTGCCCAGGACAGTAGTGGAGTCACCATCCCTAGAGAGATTTGAAAGATGAGGAGATGAGTTGCTGAGAGACATGAGTTAGTGTTGGAGTTGACAGTGCTAGGTTAACAGTTGGACTCGATGATCTTAAAGGTCTTTTCCAACCTAAATGATTCCATGCTAGCTTGAGAAGTTCCTCTAACTTACGTGAATGGTCATTTTTTCTTGCTGTTTAATGCCTGGCAGGAAAAAAACCCTGTGCTTGCTTTCTCTCTTTTACAGAAACAGGAGGTGTGTGGAAACCTGACATTACAGCATCACATGCTTGAGCCAGTGCAAAGGATTCCTCGTTACGAGCTTCTCCTAAAGGACTATTTGAAGAAACTTCCAGAAGAATCTCCAGACAGGAAAGATGCTGAAAGTACATGTAAACTCCTCTCTGTCTAATGTGCACAATAATATCTTGGAGGATTTTTTCTTAACATGTTCAAATACTTTCAACCAGGGGTCTAGGAGGAATAGAGATTTGAATTGGTCAAGTTATTGCCAAACATAGCACAAAGGGTTTTTGAATTCTCAGAGTAGAGAAGAAAAGGGTTGATATGTCAGCTCTAGGAATGAAGGGAGATTTGGCAAATAAACAATGACAAAATATTGAGGTTTGTAATGGTGGAAATTCTGTCATTTTTATTTAATTCGTTATATGGCCAAGGACAGATACAGGAGGACATCCTTGCAGTAGCTGGAGGAAGAAAATAAATGTCTTAAATGTGTATGCTTCCCTAGGTTAGCCCCTGTTAACACAAAGGAACAGGAGAAATGGACTTCTCTTGGTTTCTAGGAGTTTGTGACCTTTACCAAGACAGAGTTCATGCACACAAACCTTGTTTCAGGAAAACACTCTTGAAAACATGCTTGTGAAGACTTAAGTGAGACTTCGGTTAACTTTTCATAGGTTGATTCCTAGAAGGTGAATTTCTTTGTGACTGTGTGCTTTGGCTCGCCTAGAGTTTTAGGAGAGAAAGGTGAAACTTTTAGATGCATGTGGACCATCTGAACGTGTAGCCATTATTATGTATATATGTTATTATGCATATAACTCTTAAAAGTGTTCCTTTTACTTTATGAAAGGAAACAAGACAGTCCTTGGTTTTGCAACAGCAATTTTGCAGGAAAACCACTAACAAGGCAGGTGAAAAAAAACCCCAGGGTGCTATTAACAGATAGCATAACTGCTGCTACCTTTATTGCAGAATCACTGGAGCTCATATCTACAGCAGCAAACCATTCAAATGCAGCCATCCGAAAGATGGTGAGTAGAAATCGCGTAGTGGGATTGTAATCAGATTGAAACGCTTGGTTGAAGCAGTGGTCCCCCATTGCGATGGGCTCAGCAAAGTAGGCTGGGCAGAGTTTTCAAATACAGTGAATCAGGCTTCCAGCATCAGTTGGATATCTGAGTTGTCTTTATCATAAATGATCCTGCTGTGTTTACCATGAGTTGTTGGGCCTTGTTCTTAAAGACCCAATGGGTTGAAAAAGGAGGTCTTCATAAAACTCATTGTTTGCTTTTCACTGAAAAATGTTGAAAGTCTTCCAATCAGGTCCATTCATAAGTCATCTGTCCTTGCAGATATTCACACTGTATTTTTTAGTTCTACAGGTCTTTGCCAGGTTGGAGGTTACTTTGGTTTGATTTTGGTTCATTTTAAATTCACTGAGTGTACATTTAGCATATGTCAGTAGCCTTGGTAAGCTATAGTTCTAGAGCTGGGCAGTGTGTGACTGTGGAAACTTTGAATAGTGGCATGCGTTTTGCATACAGAACAGCTTGTGCGTTACCATTAAAGTAAACGAACTTTACGGTTACAGATGTTATCCCTTTTGTGTACCCAAGTGCCTCAGGAGCTTGTATATCTGATAGATGTGAAATGCTATGTGTCAGGCTCAACACTCACTGACCGTGTGTGGATACAACGTTTAGGTCCCCTTCCATATCAGACCTTTACTTCCTTCTCCTGGCTGGCGGGGACACCATGAGACCACATTTCCTGTGGCTGCTATGGGGAAGTAACCAGCTGATGTCTGTGTATTTACAGGATGTCTCAGTGAAAACCAGTTTTGAAACTGTCTATTTCTGTTTGAGTCCAGCGTGTTGATAAGGATATATTTTGGTGGAAATTTTTCTGGTTTGGGGCCTTGACCAACAACTCCACTAGTAGCAGCTATTTTGCTGGGGACAGTGTTTCCACAGATAGCGGGAGTCTGGAACCACCAGCCAGTTGCTTTCTGTGTTGGCTGCTTTCTCTCTTAGCATGCAAAAAGCTGTTAGAAAAGGCTGCTATAGTAATTTTGCACCCCCTATTTATTGCTGATAAGAACCTGAAGTGTTTAATCAGGGTTTCTTATTGCATTGAATCCTTCTGCAATTAATAGTTTTGCCTGATCAGGGACTCGAAGGAAAAATACCTGACTGAGAATTTCAGGTTTGACCTCATGGTTTCCCAGCTCACAGGTCCCAGCAGAAGGTGCCATGGGTGCGCTGGGGTGGACACTTTGTTCTAAGTTAGTGGGATCTCTTGATCATTTTCCCATTTGGTGGAAAAAAAAACCTACTGCCTTTTGGAGCTTAGGTGGTCTGCGTATTTGTTTTTAGTCCACACCGCCCCATTTTGTTTTGCAGAGTTTATTTTAACAGTCTGGTTTTGTTTGGGGTTTTTGGTGCATTTTTTTGATGGTTTAATCATTAGTCAGAAGAACAGATTAGGACAGGAACTGGTGTGATGTATATTTATGGTGATACTTTTCGAATCAAATGGAGGTAAACAAAGTGTGTAAAGACCCAAAATTCCAGCTGGGTTTATAGATAGGTTGAGCTATGATTTAGAGATGTGTTTGGGTGTATTTTTGAGTATAATTTCATAGATCTTTGTCCTCACTTTCTGACCGTCTGCTAACGGTGCCATTTGAAGCACATCAGTCCAGCTTGTAGTTGAAAGCCAAACCTTCCTAAATGCTATAATTGAGTAGCAAGTTTTACATAACTTTCTTATTGTGACTTGGTAAAGCTGCTGCAATGCTTAACAAAACAGCTGCAAGTGAGTGAACTCGTTAGTTTTATCCATTTGAATACTGGGTAGGAGGACTTTAATATTTGGATTGCTTAATATACAGAAGAAACAGGGCTTTGCTGAAAAGGAAAAAGTAACGCCTTCATAAAGAATTTTTGACCAAGACGTAAGGACGCCTGAATGACATTAAAACCGTATTTTAAGCATTTTGTCCTAGCTTATTCTGATGGAGACCTCCCTGCCATTGGATCAGCAACAACACAAGAGGTGAAACTTCTCAGATGCTGGGAATTGATCATACTGTAGCAGGAATCTTGGTCTGAGATGGGGGGTGGAAGTTAATAAATTCAAACTTGGAACTAATTTGGTAACGTACTGGTCTCCAACTTGGCCATTGATTTTACTGGACCGGATGCCATTGCTTCCAAAGATACATATTTATTGTTGAATAGGAATATCTAAAAATACTAAATAGATTGATCTCAAAACGTCATTAAAATGGTCCAATTGAAGTATGACTCATGAGTGACTACTACTAAGTGGGGAAAAGCATGGAACAGGTATTCATTAATTTTTGAAAATGCAAAGCTCTAGCAGAAGTTGAAGACTGCTTTCTTTCCTACTTATTTACACTTAGCACAAAAATGATACTGTGGGTAGTAGACGAAGTGGAGGGTTTTTTATTATTTAAATTGTTATAATTTTTGTACTTGCAGGAAAAGATGCACAAGCTTTTGGAAGTCTATGAGCGACTTGGGGGTGAAGAGGATATTGTTAACCCAGCCAATGAGCTCATCAAAGAAGGACACATTCAGAAACTTTCAGCAAAGAACGGCACAGCACAGGATAGGTATTTATTCCTGGTAAGTTTTTTGGTTGCTCTCTTATTTTCAGAGTTGTGCTGTGAAATGGTACAATCCCATCTTCCTGATCTCAAATACAAAAGGCTTTCGGCAGCTGAACCTGGCCTCTCCTTCCACTAAGCAGGAGGTTTTTCTTGATGCTTTTTTCTTGAGGATTTCCTTCCTTCCTCCACACCGTGCCTGTGCTGAGGGCTGCCCTGCCCAGAGGGGTCTTTCCCATCTCCCTTCTCAGAGGCTGCGTTTTTGCGAAGTGCCCAAGTAGGTGCGTTTCCAGCTGCACCTCCTTGCTGTGTAAGACAGCCAGCTCTTGCTAACGCCGAGAGGGTGGCTCTCATTGGCTTGCAGGGCAGTCAAGTTGGTGCCAGCGAGAAGGGGAGAAGAGGGAAGTGACTGGCTGATGTGTGTCTGTCCACTTCTTTCAAGTAATGACAGATGAGCCCTGCTTGCTCCTTAAATCTCTTCGGGAGAACTGATCTTAGAGTAAAACACACCAAAGTCCTAAGCTGTTGACATGCAGGCTCTGTCCAGCGTGTAACCCCTCAACCTCCAATCTTCCCTTGTTGCAGTTCAACAGCATGGTGCTATACTGTGTGCCAAAGCTGAGGCTGATAGGCCAGAAGTTCAGTGTTCGAGAGAAGATGGACATTGCAGGACTGCAGGTTTGCATCTCTTCTTTTCACCCCTTTTAGTGCTTCCCCACTCAATAGTGTCCGATTCCCTCTGAATAAAAAAATGTGACAATATTTGTATGTAGAAATACAAGGAAATTCTAAAATTCAGCTTTGGGTAACAAAATGGTGCCTTTGTACATGCTTTGGTTGAAAGCCTCCCCTTGTCACCTGGCTGACCCAGGAGCTACCTTTTCCCCAACTGCTGTAGGAGGCTGGTTCATGATTAGAAGTTTTGTAGCAAGATGGGTAATTATGGAAACAATCCTTTGGTTTTTCTACCTCTATGCTGTATTCTGAGTGATCCTTTCAGCTAAGTATTTCAAAAGAACGAATATATTTGTAAGTCATTAAAAATGATTGAAAGACAACAGAGACAAGTAAGAAGCTGACGTGTTCTTCTTACAGGTCCAAGAAATTGCCAAGCAGAACGTAGCTCATACATTTTCCATAACAGGAAAAAAGAGATCTCTGGAACTACAAGCCAGGTATGGTGCTTGTTCTGTCTTTCAATATCTGTGAATATTTATGTAGGAATTTATTATCTTGGAGATATTGCTGTGCTACTGTGACATAGCTTTAAACCAGGAGATGAGCATCAGAGATGCATAACTTAAATATGCAAGAGAATATGTTGGTGTGCTTTAATGAATTCTTATGGTGTTTATAGTAGTGCTTGTAGGTTTTTCTGTATTAATAATTCTAACATTTTTGGCATTTGTTTGATAATAATTAAGGTCAATAATTATTAATAATGCTCTGGGGAGATGTTATAGCAGCCTTTCAGTACCTGGAGGGGCCTACAAGAAAGCTGGGAAGGGACTGTTTACAAGGGCATAGAATGATGGGATGAGGGGTAATGGTTTCAAACTGAAAGAGAGGAGATTTAGATGAGACATTGGGAAGAAATTCTTCCCTGTGAGGGTGGTGAGCACTGGCCCAGGTTGCCCAGAGAAGCTGTGGGTGCCCCCTCCCTGGCAGTGCCCAAGGCCAGGTTGGACAGGGCTGTGAGCAGCCTGGGCTGGTGGAGGTGTCCCTGCCCATGGAGGGTTGGACTGGGGGAGCTTTGAGGTCCCTTCCAACCCAAACTGTTCCATGATTGTTTGATTCTCTAATTCTATAAAATAGTGGATAGCAAAGCTAAAATCTTGATGGATATAAAGCTGGGAAGATATGAATTGAATTTACTGAAAATATTGGAAGTAGAATTACAATAATTTGTGTATTTTTCTTTTCTTTTAACAGGACAGAAGAGGAGAAGAGGGAATGGATTCAGGTTAATACAAAACCATTATGATATGGGTGGAAATCACACTGCAGTCAGCATCTTCTGTTTTTAAAATGAGTTTTTGGGTGTTCTGAATGAACATGGCTATGCGAGGAAGCTGGGTAGTCAAGGCTGGCAAAGCTGCTTATTGGAGGATCGTGGAGCCACAGTCAGTGTCCCACAGCTCCCCACTGTCTCCAGGCAACACATGGGGGCTTCAAGAGGATCCCCATTTCCTTCAGTCCTCGAGCCCAGCGAGAGAAGAGACTGCAAAGTCAGATCAGTCTTGTATGGTCTTGCAGTCTGACTTGTGGAGACACTTTCTGATAGGAGTCTTAGTTTTTAACTTAAACGGTAGTGAGTTACCACCACCACCACCTGCAGTTATTAAGCTTTTCAAGTTTCTGTTTAATATATACAAGTTTAAGGTGTTTTTTCACTAAAATTATAATCTTAACCCTTTTCCTATGAGAGAATTTTTTCCAAGGCTCCTTTTGTGACACTTCTCATCTTTGCTGCAATTTTTGTCTCAGGTCATTCAAGCAACAATTGAAAAGCACAAACAGAACAGTGAGACATTTAGAGCTTTCAATAGCTCTTTTTCTCAAGAGGAGGAGCATCTTCCCGATTCCTCAGTAAGTATGAGTGCTTAATTCTCCTTCTTTGCTATAACAGTTTCACCAACAGTTAAACTAGACTTACACAGCTAACTTCAAAATAGCATAGTCTTTATTTTTATATTACATTACAGTACAGCCATTTCTCTGGCTCTCGAATGCTATCAGTCATAGTTACCCAACCATGCAGGTATGGAATAAATTACCCAGGGTAGTTCAGTGCAAGAGACCTATCAGTCATGTTTTCCAGCCTGGTGGCTCATTTAGCAAAACAGGTGTAATTCTTCAATGTGATGAGTGGTTGGCTGTCGGGTGTGATGTTTGTGTGCCTGGGAGGATTTGTTCATTACCTTTTCCCATCTCCTGAGAGATGAGTTTTGGGATTATCTCTGTTTTCTTATTTTATTATTATTTTAAAAGTTTTTAAAAGTTGAAAGGAAATTTTGAAAGGATCTCAGAAATACAGACTAACAGATAACAAATATCTTTCAGAAGGAATACTCTTCAACTAAATACGCAAAATAGTCTTGGAGGCTTATTCTGTTTCTGTACAACTGTGGTGTATTACTCTATTGCTAGGCATTTTGTTTTGGGAGTATTCATGTGAGGATGATGATATCTCTTCATTCACTTGAAAATGATGGTGATAACCTTAGCCACAGTCATTTGCTGCAAGCTAAAGAGAAGAGGGCCTGTGAGAGGGAAATATTTAGGAATTTCATGCAGAGCTACCTATGTGTTGGTGATGTTAGTGGTCAGACATGGTAGGTCTTGGAGCACAGGGACAGAAGGTCCATCTGCAAAGATTAAACGGGTATCTTTTTATTTTCCCCTGCCTTCCTAATTTTTTTTTTTTGGTACCTAACCATTTTTGAAAGCTCCCCTTTCCCACATCTGATTCAGTGACTCAATAATGCTGGATTTCTATCTGGCTGATTTCCTGGGGGACTCAGGAGAGATGTTAAATACTCTTTTCATCCCAGCATTAATCTCAGACCGACAGTGGAGATGTTCCAAACCTCCACACAGTCTAGGATCCTGTTGCTGATAGCAGCCAGCAGTGAGCTGTTTTCAGAATATAGCGTAGCTTACTGAACTATTCATCAGCTAAAAATACTTAGAAAAAAATTTGAAAACAATCCAATTGTGCCTATATTTTTACATTAACTCATGGCTGCCTTCAGAACCAGGTTGCTTTGATGGAAAACAAGTCTTTTGTTAATAAGCAAACTAATAAGCACAGTGCTTTCTCTCTAATAAGATACAGTATCTGTTCAGCATTATTATCTTCCTTGGTAAATTCCATTTTATTTTGCTTCTGTATTAATGATGTAGCCGCATGTTTATACTCTACTGGTTCATAAAAGTCAAGCAGAGCAGAAGTCTGGTGTATCTCCTGGCTGTGATATTAATGCAGTATGCACCTTAATTTCTTTTACGCCAGAATGCTAAACCTGCATTTTTAGAAGATAAGCTCATCTAGATAATTACCTTTGAAAACTGGTGTCATGGCTAGAGGTGGCAGAAATTGCTGTCAGTTAGAAAGAGCTGAAGTGAGTTCTGTAAGGAAAGCTGGACAAATACCAAGAGCATTCTTATTAGCAGTACACTGCTGTAGGCACCATCCACCATACATAGCTCATCATCTTTATGGAATATTGGGCAGTGTGCTTTAGAGGAAAAAATTACTCCCTTTTTGCTCTCATGAGTCAAGAAATAGGTATGCACTCATGGATTCCAGGCTGGATCTCTAACAACTATGAGAAATTGGACTCTGGTTCTAATAAGGCTGTAGAAAAATAGCCAAATTGCTTTTCCCCATCCTTGGCCATACATTTGACACGTTACAGTGCTTAGGATTGATTTCAGTTGCATGACCACTGCACGCCTTTGCATGTGATTCTTGCTATGCTTTTGTTTTCCCTGCTGACTTAACATCAGTTCATTACAGGCGTTAAGGGTTGACCTTCAGCCTGTGGTTTGCCTACAGAAGACTTGCAGTTCCTTGTATGTGCAGAGATCTGACATTTTACCTGATTCTTAAGATCACAGAATCATTTGGTTTGAAAGGACCTTTAAGATCATCGAGTTCAACCATAACCTGTCCACCACTAACCCATGTCTCTCAGCACCTCTTCTTCCCATCTTTTCAATCCCTCCAGGGCTGGTGACTCCACCACTGCCCTGGGCAGCCCCTTCCAGTGCCTGATAACCCTTTCAGTGTAGAAATTTTTTCTAACATCCAATCTAACCCTCACCTGGTGCAACTTGAGGCCATTTCCTCTGTCCTATCACCTGTTACTTGGAAGAACAGACTGACCCCCACCTTGTTACCCTCTCCTTTCAGGCAGTTCTAGAGGGTCTCCCCTCAGCCTCCTCTTCTCTAGGCTAAAAGATTAATGCCTTAATTAATTAAGATTATGCCTGTGCAATAATCTACAGCAGTTAAAAACTCCCACCTGTCAGAAGGTGACTATTTCGAGTCATTACAGTCAGTGGTCTTTTAAAGAAGTCCTTGCAGAAAGCTTCAGGGTCCCTTTGTGGCTTAATTCCTTCAGAAAGAGGCCACTCCTTTCCCTGTTCTCCATTTTCACCTGCAGCATTTCAAGGGTATGCAAAGAAGTTGCTTTAAAGCCATCTAAAAATGTTCCCAAGGAAAAGGACCTCTTTCCCCACTGCTTGATCTCAGAAGAGTTGGAGGCTTGTGCTGTGGGGGAAGGCCCCAGTTTGTGCATTGATAGAGGCTGGCAAGGAAGGGTGCTGCAGAGAGCTGCGCTCTGCGGAAGTGGCATCCCTAAGATTTGAGAGTTGGGAGTGCTGCTGTTAGTTAGTCCATCATTTTTAGATCCTGTTAAATCCTTGTTTCTCACCCCCATTTCTGTTCCTCCCCCTAGCTGTGGGTAGGTCTGACAAATGTGAATAACTCTTCTTCCATACCCAATCCTTACACACTTTGGGTGGTAACTGTAGCATCAGGGGGAGAAGCCCTTTTGAAATATTTTCTGGGTGAAGAGTAAGAGAGGATATTGGATTTTTAGCACATTATTCCAAATAAATATTAAAAGGGTGTGGTGATCTAAACAAGCAACTATAGAAATTTACTCCTCTCCTTTAACTTGCTGAGGGTTTGCTCAGTCTCTCCTTCATACCCTGTTTTCTCTCCACATTTTTCATTTCCTCTCCCAAGCCCTGTGTAGCAACACACAGATGTCCTGTCAGGGATCTAAATACCTGGCTTGATTCAGATTCCAGTGGAGAGAAACCCCTTTCCATGGGACTGGGGAATAGATGATGTGAAGACCCTAGGGTTGCTGGGGTTTTGCGGAGGCAGAAGCAGTTGTCTGGAGTTCAGTACGTGACGCTGTTGTGTTCCTTCAGGACGTGCTCTGGAAGTGGCACAGTCTGAGCCCCAGGGAATGTTTGCTTGTTCTCAAGAGTCCATTGATCATTTTAGTATATAAAGGGATACAACTAGGCATCAGAATGAATAGCTCATTGTTTTGGCCACTTTACTCAAACCTGTAGTTCAGGTTGTTTCTAATAACAGAGATGAAACCTTGTTGCTTTCCAGTGGAATGAAACTAGAGTGCAAAAATGCACTGGAAATTTGGATAACCTCGAACTGTGAGGTTATGCCAAAGGAAGAGTGATCTATGGGAATAACAGGAGAGTTTATCATAAAAACTCTTAATATTTAGAGAACCCCCTGTAAACTAGTGAACTCCCTGTAAATTAGTGACAGATGAGATTCCTTTTAGGATGTAGCCTATGAGTTTGGTGTACATAAGCTTGTTATTTGCCGTATTGAATACATCTAGATTGCATTTATTAAGACATGCAGAGATGTATTGCAATTCAGAAAAACTGAGTACTATTTGAAATGTTCTTCCTCCTCAGAATCCACACAAAGCCCTTGCTGGTGTGGCTTGCAGGGCTCAAATGGAGCGGTGTAATTCCAAACCTGCCGCTCGCTTTCTGCAGAGCTTAGAGGGGACATTGTGGGGAAAAGCAGGCATGGCCGTGCGATGCCATCTGTAAAATCACCCGCTTCAGTCACCCCAGTATTCGAGGGTGGCTGAATACACGTGCAATTATGGTGTATTCACAAGCAAATAGTTGAGGGGCTAGAAGCAAATGATGCCATGTTTTCTTTTTCAACATTTGCTGTATTTTAGGAAGAATGTCCATGTTGAAACTGTTCTGTGTCACACTGTTTCCCACAGATAGCAAGTACCAGCTCGGTGGAATCAATGCCAGGAACAGATGGTGGTGGTGCATTTGGAGGGGTAAGTAATTTGAAGTGAATACTTTTGGTAGGGCTGTGGGGGGTAGGGGTTTATGTTTCTTTTGTAGCAGGGGAAAAAAATGAGAGATAATTCAGTGTGGTTTTATATTGTGCTGTCTGTTGCTGCAGCTGTCCTGTCCTTAACTTCTTGGCTACAGCTACTTGCAGAGTTTGCACCATCGGTGAATTTAAATCCTCCTCTTCCAGATACATGCTGCAGATGTGTGGGACCCTGGTTAGGGGACCCAAGCTGGAGGGAGCTGATTGTTACATTGGTAGCATTGGGGGTTGTGGGTTTTTTTGTTTGTTTTTGAATTCTTCTAGAGCGCTACTCTGAAAGCTTGGGGAGAGGAGGGCAAAGAGAGACAAGGAAGCCTGGCTGCTTTATGCTGTCGTGTTGTGTAATGCAGGATTTCATCTCCAGAACCAAATTTCGATTAACGCTTCTTTCATAGCATGCTTTTCATGTTTCTGCCAATGCAGAGGATGAGGTGGTAGTAATTTCTTACGTCTCTGGCCTGTAAGTGATTGGCTGCTGCAAAAGCAAAATATACTGTAATATATGTTAAAGGTATTTTTCCTTTTGCTCTGTACAATGTCTGTGACTGCTGCTGAGTCAAACCAGAGGTTTTGGGTACTTAATAAGGCCTATTTTTCAGCATTCTTGCCTCTCCCTTCTAAAATGTCTTCTGAGAATAAGAGTTTAACAAAATGCCTTAGGGTCAGCAGTTTTACTGCAAGAAGTCCCAACAAGAAGAAACAACAACCACCAAAAACCCCCTGTCTGCTGGGACATACTATAGGATATTGTGTACTAACATGACCGTAGCAGGCTCTTCCAGACCTCTGGCCAAGCTTGTAAACTGGTAGAGTTTACGGGTTATCAAAGAAAAGCTGTAAGCAATCCAGCAACCTGACCTATACAAACAAGAGCTTATTAAAAATAAGTGTTTGTAATTACTGTACTTCTTGCTCTTTGTTGTTTGCTCACACTTCGTATTTTTCCTGAGCAATTTTTAATTGACTCGTAGTCAGTTTTGCAATTAGTGCCCCTGTTCCTTAAGTTACAGATGCTATAGTGAGCTCGCTGTTGGTCTTAGGTTTCTTAGGAAAATATACATTTTAGTTGTAATTAAATTAAAAAAATAGATATTTTTAGTTGATTATAAATAGTTGTGTGAGTAGTTTGCATAGTGTATCTTGACACATTAAGTAATTTTTCTTAAGTTGTGTATTTAAGTAAAAGTTTAATTCCTGAGATAGAAATAAAAATGGAGTTGATCAAGAACACAAAGCTGAAAATAACGAAAATCATGTAGCATTGATTCAGCGATCTCATTCTGCTGTATGTTAGCAAATGGGTGACATCAGCATGAGCAGTGAATTCCGATGATAGTTGCAGCTTTAGAAAATACTCATTTTTAATGGTGACACCCCTTTAGAAACGTCTCAGTGAGCGCATGAGCAAGAATATTTCGTGCTCAACAGCTTCCCCACATGAACCACTTGGTGGTGGTGGTGGTCAGCAAACTGCTGGCTCCTTCCTGGGCTTCTGCTGCAGCTCCTGAAGCGACTGCTGGGCTTCTCTTCAGTGCTGCACTTTGCCACAGCCAAACAGTGCAAACGTAATGCAGGAAGTGTAATCTGCTTTTTTGTACAGCATTGTGGTGACTGCTGCACTGCACTGCTAGCACAGTTTGTACCGTTTATGCTAAATCTTCTGCCTGCATGAGGAAAGTACAAGCCAGTAGAATCGCAGAATATGAGGAGTTGG